TTGTATGAAATAGTTGCACTTATAGCACAATGGTCACTACAAGTTGGAGAATGAACAGCTATAAGCTACATTAAAGACTTTAATTGTATCATTTGTCAATATTATATCGAGGGAAGTTGATGATGTGGAGGTTATTCTAGTAGGTTCATAGATAATATTTCCAATCCATATTTGGTCATTAATCTTTGAAGATGGGAATTAGGGGTTAATTTCAACACATCCTGGTTAATATCACTAAGCAGAAATACACTTTTATTTAGATCACATACTTTTTCAAGGACTTCATCTAACTTGCTCCAGTAATTGGCTATAGAATCTGGAGCCCTGTATTAACACCCAACAAGTATAAGTTTGTTTTGTAGGTTGATTTCTACCCAGACAACCTCAACATCATCAGATTCAAGATCAGTTCTGCGTTTTGCAATAATATTGTTTTTTACATATATAAGAACACATCCTTCTCGTCTGTGTTGTCTATCATTTCGAAAAACAGTAGAAAAAATTTCAGTCAGAATGTCATCATCTGTAATTGAAGCGTTCAGATGAGTCTCGCTAACACAGACAATATCACATTCTCCATATTCAGCATCAATAATATCAATTTTGTTCCTTAGTGAACAAGCATTTATATGACAGAGTGTAATGTTGTCAGAAATATATTGGTGACTACTTGTATTAGGTCCTGGATAAGGATGCACATCTCACATAACTGTAGGAGTATCCCTTTAACCGTGTATGGAAAGGTGATATTTACATTTTCTGAGTTCAGAGACAGGAAGAGATCACAACATTGTAAATACATAGGTACATCTGATGCGGACCCCACAGGCTGGACACTGTACATGTACATGTACATCTGTTTAAAATCAGTCATTATCGAATATGAAAAGGGACATGGAAAGATAACAAGCCCAGACTATGGGTTCCGCAAGATGTAGATCTAACATGTAAAATAAATGTAATAATACGTCAAATAATGATTTGGAGTTCCAATCCAGTACTACTTGTAAGCTAATCATAGACATTGGTATTGTTCGAAACGAATGTTTGTGCAGATACGGATTGTTATTGTCCGCACAATCGAGCATAAGTAAGAAATGATCATACATGTAAATTAAATAATAATATAAAAAGACTATGTAACACACAGTTTGCTTTGTTGTACAATATATACAAATTTGCAAGCAGTTGACTTAACACTTTTAACTTTACAGCCATGGCGGCTACATGTACTATGAATAGATGCATGTTGGGCATTTTATATTGACTTGGTTCGATTTCACCAGCACAGGTGAGCTAGGTGGGTAACACACATGGAGATTTGGGAGAATATAATTGTGGCACTTGTCATGTTAAAGCAATGCATATGATAACGACTTCTTCTGTATAAATATTATATTGTAACAACCCCTATTACCCAAATTATTTTATGTGTACCATAACAATTTTACCTTCTGCACGCATGAGTGCACACTAGATGTGGCAATGTTTATATTAAATACTATATTTCTCTGGTGGTGAGTATACCATTACAAGTAAGATATTTGATAAGGTATGTATAAATATTATGGCATAAATTTCACTAATCTAGTCTAATGTATACATACTCATGCACAAATTTATGCTTATAGACTCAAAAGCGTACAATACATATGTAATAGATCTATGCGTTATCTGATGTATAATATGATACACATCAACGTTTGTAATCTTTATAGCACATTTATGTATGCAGTCTTGAAGCTGCACATATGTATTAAAATATTGATAGGGTGGAGTAACCATATTAATCTTTAAATATTGTAATACAACATTGATACAAATTTGATTGGAATGCTAGCACTCAGGTCTACTATATGATATTTTAACAACCAGTATACCCATGTACGAGCTTGCAGTAGACAAAGGGGAAAACACATAATAGTATGTGTAATAAACTGGATGACCAGTGCAATGAGTAAATAAGGACTGATTTATGTATGATACATAGTTGTTTACTTATTGATAAATGTATGTAAATATATGTACACTATAGATAAGGAATACACAATTTGAAAAGAAATGAAAGAACAAATCTTCCAATAGCAGAAGTCAGGGTTCATACACTACTCTGCAGTACTACACAGTCAGCGACTCTGTGTAAATGATGGACCACCCTTAGTGGTGCGCACATGGGATGCAGCTTTGGGCTTCGTAGGCTCCTGATCAATGTGTCCTGACGCCCCAGCTACAGTACGGGGACCGTGCCTGGGCCGATCGCGGGCCTCAAGATGGGGAGGGGGAGCAGGAAACGCGGAAAGTTCGTCCATAGTGGTAACTTGGGATTTACTCCCCTGTAGATTCCGGATAACGATTCTACCATCGTTCGTCCATGTCCCCCCGATATGTCCCTGTTTGTAGCTCACCTGGCCCAAAGGGCCAAGTGAGCTTATGGCATGGTGCGGCGTCTGGCGTCCGTCCGGCGGCAACTTTTTACTTTAAACAACTTCTTCTCAGTAACCAAAAGGCCTAGGGTGATGATATTTGGCCAGAAGCATGCTTGGATGAAGGGCTACCAAGTTTGTTCAAATAAATGACCTTCATCAATTTTCAAGGTCACGGGGTCAAATATGTTAAAATCTTTAAACAACTTTTTCTTAATAACCAAGAGCCCCAGGCTGATGATATTTGGCCTGTAGCATGCTGGGATGAAGGGCTACCAAGTTTGTTCAAATGAATGATCTTGACCCACTTTCAAGGTCACTGGGGTCAAATGTCTTAAAATCTTCAAACAACTTCTTCTCAATAACCAAAAAGCCCATGGTACTGATATTGGGCCTGAAGCATGCTGGGATGAAGGGCTACCAAGTTTGTTCAAATGAATGTTCTTGACCCACTTTCAACCTAATGTCCTTGTTCGACATTCAAGGTCACAGGCATCATATGTTTAAATCTTTTAATAGGTTCTTATGAATCAAACACTGATATTCTGGCTGTTGTTGTATTTTAGTCCACTTTTAGAATTACAAGTGTGAAATTAATACCAGGTGAGCGATGCAGGCCCATTGGGCCTCTTGTTCAAAATACCGGACTTTGGCGTATACTGCAGTGCGCTGTTTGGTCAGGGCCTCATTGATATAGAATCAGCTGCTGGCAGAAGGGGCTACATTATCAGGTTCAGATGAGGTGGAAGTCCGATGCGATGGAAACAGACTAAATCTGTCATCATAAACGAGGGCCCTCGTGCGATAAGAAATGAATCTTACTATTATATCACGTGGATTTGTAGAGGACTTGGGGCCTACCTGATGCGAACGACTAATGTCATTGAGGGTCACCATGATACCCAGGGTATCATTACATGCGGATAACACAAGATCATCAGTGTTTCCCCCTTTCGGATTTGGGTATCCCCCTGAGTTTTAGGCAGTTCCTTCTCGATTACTGTTCTAAATCATCCAACTTGTTCTCAAGGAACTGGACACGTTGCTGGAGTGGGGTGATACCTATGGAAGATACCAGCGTGTCCTTGAATAGTGAGTTTCTCAGTAACTGGGCGACAACTTCCTGAATGACCACAGGATCGGTAATGTCATGTATAGTTTGAATATCCCCGGACATAGCAAATTATTCTTTAAAATCCTTCTTCTTCTGTAGGAATGAAAAGATTTGGTCCATATTTGGTCAGAAGCATCCTTTGGTGAAGGGGATCCAATTTTCTTTTAATGGTGGGTCTGGCCCCCCCAGGGGCCTGAGGGGCAGGGCCCAATAGGGGAAATATAGCAATTTCTTCTTTAAAATCCTTCTTCTTCTGTAGGAATGAAAGGATTCGTTCCATATTTGGTGTGGAACATCCTTGGGTAAAGGGAAACCAATTTTGTATAAACGGTGGGTGTGGCCTTCCTGGGACCTGAGGGGCGGGGCCCAATAGGGGAAATAGAGGTAAAACCTTTATAATCCTTCTTCTACCATATGGATTAAGGGATTTTATCCTTATTCAGTCTGGAGCATCCTTGGGCAAAAGGGACTCAATTTCCTATAAACAGCGAGTGTGGCCTCCATGGGGGTGGAAGGGAGGGGCCCAATAAGGGAAATAGAGGTAAAACCTTTAAAACCCTTCTTTGACCATCGGGATTAAGGGATATTTTATTGTTATTTAGTCTGGAGCATCCTTGGGCCAAGGGGACTCAATTTTGTATAATTGATGGGTATGAACCCCTAAGGGCTTAGGGGTGGGGCTCTGTTTGAAGTTTGTTCTTGCTATTTCTCAAGTATTGGATGGATCTTTCTGAAATTTCATATGTACTTACAGCACCTACCATGGAGTGGTATATCTTTTGATTTAATAAGAAATTGGTCAATGATGCAGACAAGCAAAACAATTAAATATGATAAACAAGGAAGTCTTGATGAGTCAGCTAAGGCTTACTGTCTATTTTAGTTGTCTTTAGTCTTTGCTTTTTGGATTCTTAAAAAAACCCTGAATATTTAAACTTGTTTTCAAATGGTGTGGCTAATACCCTGGAAAGGGAACAAAAGGGATAATTTCAATCACAACTGTTTACAGTTCTTGAAGAAATGAAGATGTATTTGATTATTTTAGGAGAGGACTTAAATATAAGTTTGCCTATTGTTTTAAGTTCCATTTCAAGGAAATAAAGATATTTGAGTTTTCAGTGAATTCTTGTTATACTGCCACCATTTGTAATTGTTGCCTTATAAAGGGTTTTGGCAATATCTATAAAGAGAGAAATATCAAGGAGTATCACAATAAATTGAGGTTAAACCTAGAGAAGAAATGTTTAGGAAAGAAGAAAAGAGGAAGTTGAAATACATTGGTGGTCAAAGTAGCAAATAAATTGAGGGGCATTATATCAAGGTTTTGCTGTACTTGACATGTACTACATTTGTGTATAGAACATGCAGATGAATGTTGATGATAATTTGAGTTTTGTCTTATCTCTTACAGATGTAGAACAAGCTGTTGGTATTGACATGCCTCTACAGCAGGTGCTTGTTCATCCACTAGGAAATGGCTCCGGTAAAACCGCTAAAAAGGACCAGAAAGCTCAACCCTCGCCTCTCAAGAAAAAGGACAGCACAAAGGTTTGTTACATTCTACAATATAAACAGTGGTGTCATCCACTTGTTTAGCTTTCTTTTTTAGATGCTACCAACTTGTTCTGGCAATTTCTACATTAAGGCACTTATGATTAGTCGATTGTCAGAATAATGTGAACCGATCGAGAGTCATGTCCAGGTTATGATATTTCAGTGAGACTCATTCACCCCTGAAATTTCATAATGAACTATTCCAACCTTTGAATTGGAAGAGTTCAAATGTGTCTTCAGGGGTGAATGAGTTAAAGTGGTTCATAAGTGTTCTGATCCTCTGTACTGGACACCATCATTGTATGAATGTTAGTGTTGAAAGGTTGCTAATGCAATTGTCCATTTGTTAACAATGGTGGAGAAGCTTGGTGAATCTAGCTCATAATGGCCAAGGCTCAAAGTTTAACATTTCTTTTTTAGGTCACCTGAGACAAAGTCTCCGTAACCAGGGGGTAAACTTTACTATAGTTTATATAGGGAAATCACATTTTGGACCAACATTTGTTTAATTTCCATTGGAAGTAACTCAATTTAGGTTAGCACTATCAGTATTAGGCAGCTGTTTGATAGTATGCACATATGAGCCCTGACTGACCCCCAGGGGCTGATGGGTGGGGCAAAAAAGGGTTGAATTGACTGAAATTTCAAAAATCTTCTTCTCAAGACCCAGATATGGTAGAGTCAAATACTCTTCATAGATGGAAGGGTCTTAAGGTTTATGACCCTAGGGTCTCACGTTTACCCCCTGGTGAAGGAGGGGGGAGGTACAATTTATTATGGTTTATAATGGCAAATGATACTTTGAATATAACATGTTAATAACTTAATTGGAATTATAACCCTGAGTTGACAGTTTGATACTTTGAAAATTTTGAGCCAGCCCTACCCCCAAGGGCTGTAGGGTGGGGCCAAAAGGAGTCAGTGTGCTAAAATTTCTTCATTTTCCTTGTTTAGAATCAGAGGTGCTAGTTCCGTCCGTCGTCTGTCGTCCGTCTGTCCAGCGTCAACTTTTTGCTTTAAACAATTTCTTTTCGGTAACCAAAAGGCCCAGGGTACTGATATTGGGCCTGTAGCATGCTGGGATGAAGGGCTACCAAGTTTGTTCAAATAAATCACCTTGACCCACTTTCAAGGTCACTGGGGTCAGATGTCTTAAATCTTCAAACAACTTCTTCTCAATAACCAAAAGGCCCAGTGTACTGATATTGGGCCTGTAGCATGCTGGGATGAAGGGCTACCAAGTTTGTTCAAATAAATGACCTTGACCCACTTTCAAGGTCACTGGGGTCAGATGTCTTAAATCTTCAAACAACTTCTTCTCAATAACCAAAAGGCCCAGTGTACTGATATTGGGCCTGTAGCATGCTGGGATGAAGGGCTACCAAGTTTGTTAAAATGAATGACCTTGACCAATTTTCAAGGTCACAGGGGTCAAATGTCGTAAAATCTTCAAGCGACCTCTTCTCTATAAGCAAAATGGCCAGGGTACTGAAATTCGGCCTGTAGCATGCTTGGATGAAGGATTACCAAGTTAGTTCAAATGAATGACCTTGACCAACTTTCAANAATCTTCATACAACTTCTTCTCAATAACCAAAAGGCACAGGGTACTGATATTGGGCCTGTAGCATGCTGGGATGAAGGACCATCAAGTTTGTTCAACTGAATGACCTTGACCAACTTTCAAGGTCACAGGGGTCAAATGTCGTAAGATCTTCAAGCGACTTCTTTTCAATAAGCAAAAGGGCCAGGGTACTGAAATTAGGCCTGTAGCATGCTGGGATGAAGGACTACCATATTAGTTCAAATGAATTACCTTGATCCACTTTCAACCTAATGTCCTTGTTCGATAATCAAGGTCAGAGGCGTCATATGTTTAAATCTTTTAATAGGTTCTTATGAAGTCTTAAGATTACAAGTGTTAGATTAATAACAGGTGAGCGATGCAGGCCCATTGGGCCTCTTGTTTCCATTGTACTGTGATCTTTTCCATTGGTCTGTTATCTTTTCCATTGTACTGTGATCTTTTCCTCTGGACTGTGATCATTTCTATTGGACTGTTATTTTTTCCATTGTACTATGATCTTTTTCCATTGGACTGTGTTTTTAGGTCACCTGAGCTTTGCTCAAGTGACCTATTCCAATCACTTTCCGTCCGTCGTCGTCCGTCGTGCGTAAACTTTTTACATTATCAACTTCTTCTCAAGAACCAGTGGATGGAATTTTTTCAAACTTGGTCAGAATCATCCTTGGTAGATGAGGCTACCAAATTGTAAAATTGGGATTCCTACCCCAACCCTAGGGGCCAGGGCGGGGCCCAAAAGGGAAAATTAACCAATATTTCAAAAATCTTCTTCTCCAGACTCAGAGGTATTACAGTCATTTTCTCTGCATGGATGGAAAGATCATCAGGGGCTTTATTTAAATTGTAAATTTCAGGACCCCCGAGCTATCCGTTCTCCCTTGGGGAGGGGGTAAAGTTTACTATAGTTTATATAGGGAAACAACACTTTTGGGTATATTTTGACAATTTTCTGTTGGAAATTATTTTTACTTGGTCAGAATCATCTTTGGTAGATGACGGTTTCACATTGTAAACTTTGAATTCCTGTCCCACACCCAGGGGTTAGAGCAGGGACCCAAAGGGAACATTTACAAATATTTTAAAATTCTTATCCTTTGATGACATGACAAGTGTTGTATTTCACTTAGTTTACATGCTGATTTCCACATCACATCTGAACAATAAAATAAAGCTACCAGTACCTATGATATAACTCAGGTGACCGCTAAGGCCTTTGGGCCTCTTGTTTTCCATTGGACTGTGATCTTTTCCTCTGGACTGTGATCTTTTCCATTTTACTCTGATATTTTCCTTTGGACTGATCTTTTCTATTGGACTGTTATCTTGTCCATTGGACTGTAATCCTTTCCCATTGTACTGTGATCTTTTATATTGGACTGTTATCTTCTCCATTGGACTGTGATCTTTTCCATTGTTCTATGATCTTTTTCCATTGGACTGTTATCTTTTCCATTAGACTGTAATCTTTTCCATTGGACTGAACTTTTCCATTGTATTGTGATCTTTTCCATTAGGCTGTGATTTGTGATCTTTTTTTATTGGACTGTGATCTTTTCCATTGGACTGTGATCTTTTCTTTTGGACTGTGATCTTTTCCATTTTACTCTGATATTTTCCTTTGGACTGATCTTTTCCATTGGACTGTTATCTTGTCCATTGGACTGTAATCTTTTCCCATTGGACTGTGATCTTTTCCATTGGACTGTGATCTTTTCCATTGTTCTATGATCTTTTTCCATTAGACTGTAATCTTTTCCATTGGACTGAACTTTTCCATTGTATTGTGATCTTTTCCATGAGACTGTGATTTGTGATCTTTTTCATTGGACTGTGATCTTTTCTTCTGGACTGTGATCTTTTCCATTGGATTGTGATCTTTTCCATTGGACTGTGATCTTTTCCCATTTGACTGTGATCTTTTCCATTGAACTGTGATCTTTTCTATTCTACTGTGATCTTTTCCCATTGGACTGTTATATTTTCCATTGCAATGTGATCTTTTCCCATTGGACTGTTATATTTTTCATTGGACTGTGATCTTTTCCATTGGACTGTGATCTTTTCCATTGGACTGTGATCTTTTCCATTGGACTGTGATCTTTTCTATTCTACTGTGATCTTTTCCCATTGGAATATTATATTTTCCATTGCAATGTGATCTTTTTCCATTGGACTGGGATCTTTTTCATTGGACTGGGATCTTTTCCATAGGACTGTTATCTTTTCCTCTGGACTGTTATCTTTTTCATTGGACTGTGATATTTTCAATTAAACTTTGATATTTTCAAAATAATTGTATTTGGCTGATCTTTATAATTATCATTCGACTGTGCTGTGATCTTTTTCATGAGACTGTTGTCTTGGCCTACTGATCTATGATATTTTCTGTGGGACTGTGATATTTTCTACTTTGTTATATAGACACACAGTCACAAACAACTGTTATAAATTAATTCACTGATTATGCTTGACAGAAGATGTTAAAACACGACAAGATTGCCATTATAATAATGTATGAGACTGTTTCTACTGTATATATCTTACACTTAGATAAACTTGGTGTTTGTCGCAGACATTAAAAGCCATAAAACGGATATTATAAACATATAAACGTCGGCCGTGTATTAGAGCTACGATCTTCACTTGTCAGAGTCAAGAATAGAAAGTCACTTCCATAGGAAGTGTACTTTACAATTACAAACGATGTGTCAAAATCTCAACTTCAACAGGAACACCAGGAGTAATGCTTTTGTGTGTAATATTAGCATGTTTCTGGGTGACACAGGTCAAAATCAAATGGAAAACATTTTCTCCTTTTTTTATGTGAATTTTCACTCATTCCATATTTTGCCTGAAATTAATTTTTAAAAGTCCTGCATCTTTGTGGAGAGAGAATTAAGTACATATGTCTTATCAGTTGGTCCATTAAACATTAAACTGCTTTCTGTTGGCATTCATAGACAGTATGAATTCTCCGCACAACTGTGCGATTTGGTACAATTTGTTGATCAATATTACAGAATGAAAAAAATATGGAAGCTTGTATGAAATAATGTACACTGTATATATTACTGTAATTTCTCATCACAATAATTAAGAGTATGTACAATTTTTCAATGCGTGTTACATAGTGTTAAAGTGACTGTCAAGAACGGGTTTAGCTCCTAGGTAACAGAACAGGTAAATAACAATTTGATGAGTAATCGGAGTTTTACATTGTCTGTGCCTGACATATAGAGCTGATATGTGATACTGTACGTTTAGTATTTGTTATTTGCATTCGTTTTGGTCTATAGCTCCCCTTCACCTGGTTTTCACACCTTGGCGAGTTACGTAAGTGCCCCGGGCTGGGGGATAACTACGGTCCAGGTACAGGTACAAAGTGGCTATGTTTACCTGTATTGCCGAG